CCCGTCTCTTGTGGATGAGGCGGTTTTTCTCTCATGTTTCCCTGGTTCCCTGGTTTTATGCAAAGGATGTGCACGCTCACAGGCCATGGGCGGTTAAGCCTCCATCCGTAGACCGAGCCGAGTTGAAATCAGGTCTACCATCTGCAACAGAAGATGCCGAATTAAAGGACTTCTAAGGGGATTAATATGAGTACAGCAATGAACAAAGTTTACCATCCCGTCGAACTCTGAATTAAAGCAGCCTTTGTTAAATCGGAATAATTATCTCAATTATGTGTACTTTTGAGACATCCTCGCCATGACCATTTTTGCGCCATTGATTTCTGCGAAGACAAATGGAAGGTGTAACGCATTTGCATAATCATGGTGAGACGGGGGAATACCCGCAGCAAATAAAGGTAGGGTTTTGAATATTCCAATTTCATTTTAGACTACGACTTTCATTTTAAATTTGCCCTCAAATTTTAAATATTTTAATTTTATCCTTAAATTATATCTTTATTTTAAATTGGTTCCTAAACTTTTTGAACATTTCGATTTCATCCCAAACTATAGGTATATGCTAATCATATATCATTTTAATAAAATTGTTAGGCCAACTGTATTACTATATGTTTGAAAAAGTTAAAATTTAGGTTAAACTCCGGTTAAAACTAATTACATATTTGGATGAATACGGGGATGAAATAGAAAGATTCAAAAGTTTGACCAAGTTAGAACGAGGGTCATAGTTTGGGGATGAAATTGGAATATTTTAAGGACTAATTTAGAATGATTCATAATTTGAGTATGAAATATTCAAATGTTTGAGGACCAATTTAAAATGAGTCATGGTTTGGGGATGAAATTGGAATGTTTTAAGGACTAATTTAGAATGAGTCATAATTTGAGGATGAAATATTCAAATGTTTGAGGACCAGTTTAAAATGAGTCATGGTTTGGGGACATGTGATGCAATTAACTCAACCTTTATTGACATGTATGCCTGCAACAGCCAAACTTATTGACCGTTCTCAATTGGAACATCAACGACATAGAATTTCACCAAGCTCAGCTGGTTAAACACACTGCATTATCCAACTAACATTAAACCTTCCAACATAAAGTGATTAAACTAAACTTGAAAGTTCATTCATGGACACTAATATGATGTTTCCACAATAATTAGAAACACAGTTGATCTAAATGCTGCTGCTGCTGATGATTGATGATGGAAAAGAACCAGATGCTGACTCAGCAGCTAAGTGACTCGAGTTTATGGGAAAAGAACCAAATGCTGTAGGGGATGGACTTGCCCAAATTCATTTGTTCATGTACCCAAGCTTTCTTCTGTCATTTTTGTTCCATATCTCCCATCTTTGAGAGAAATTTGCAGTGGATCCACAAAGCAGACAATATCACCTCGCTCCCACGTGATCTTCATACACACGACAATCTCACTTGCCATAAAGGTCTTGCCGGTTGCATGTGTTTCAAGCTCTTTTGTCTGTTCTTGCTGAGTTTCTAGCAACAATGGGGTAAAAATTCAACAAATTTACTTCAAACAAAAACACACATCAAGTGTGTGTGTTTTAGTTGTCATTGTTTGTGGATAACATTCTTTAATGTGAATTATTAAGGAATAACTTTATTTTACTTTTTTGGGGAGCTTGGATCTTTATTTTTTGTTGAAAAATCTGATCTTCTTCCACTGTCTGTAGAGCATTAGAAGCTTCATGAAGAATGTTGTTCATGTTGGAAAAGGTTGTTGACAAAATGACAGTGGAGGGTATTGCTTTTTTTCGTGTGGAGTTAGTGCAGGTATGCATCAAGGTCTTGAATTTGGAGATATTTTGGGAAAAATAGTATACTTTGATTGGCCGAATCGGGTGATCGAACGAGACAGGTAGGGAAGGTGTGATTGAAAGTTAGGTTTGGTTGGATATCTTAGATTCGTGTTGTTGGTCTGATTGGGATATTAGCAGAGTGTTTGATAAATCTGAGTTTGTATTTGTTTTGTTGAAAGAGTTTGCTGTGAGATTTACGAATTCGAACACTCTGGTTGTATGCGAAAGATCACGTTAGTTCAACATGAGTGGCGTTAAGACTATAGTCTGGTTCAGGAGGGACCTCAGGATTGAAGACAATCCTGCTTTAGCTGCTGCTGAAAGGGATGGCAGTGTATTTCCGATCTACATATGGTGCCCCGAAGAGGAAGGGCAGTTCTATCCCGGTCGAGTGTCGCGATGGTGGCTGAAGCAATCTCTTGCTCAATTGCAGCAGTCCTTGAAGTCTCTCCGGGCTGAACTTGTGCTGGTTAAGACACAGAGTACACTTTCAGCTCTTTTGGATTGCATCAAAGCTACTGAGGCGACGAAAGTAGTATTCAATCATATCTACGGTATGCTCCGGTTCAGTCGATCGAATCTGCTTATGCCGAATTCACTGCAATATTTTCAGTTAACATGTGAAACACTTGAGATTATAGTCATATGCTCAGATATTTGTAAATTAAGATGTGTCATGTTTCCCTGTCCTTTTGCCAGATCCCGTCTCGCTGGTCCGCGATCATCACGTCAAAGAGAAACTGAAAGAGTTCAGCGTCTCGATGCAAACGTATAATGGAGATTTGTTATATGAACCATGGGAGATATATGATGAGAAGGGACGAGCTTTTACTACCTTGGATGCATATTGGGATAAGTGCTTGAACATGCAAATGGAACCCATTTCACTTCCACCATGGAGATTGGTGCCTGCTGCAGGTAAATTTAAACCAAACATTATGTAATTAAGTGATGTATACGTATACATATATGTATGTATGAATGTATATAACGCAGTTCGTCCAAAACGCGCATGATGTACATTTATACGTATTTATGTATGTATAGATTTTAAGAAAAGGAAAGTTGACATGTATATATATATATGTATATGCACATTACAGAATGAGTAACTAGTTGCTGAACCCTTATTAGTGACAAGGACTGTTGGAGCAATGCCGTTAAGGCTTTAACCGAGTTTGTCGAATGGAATCTGTTCGAATATTCGAAGAGTCGGTTAGAGGTTGGAGGCAACTCCACATCATTTTTGTCCCCATATCTTCGTTTCGGAGAGCGAAGTGTCAGGAAAGTTTTCCGGCGCGTACATATGAAACAAATACAATGGAGAGGAGAACAGAAATCTCGAGGGGAAGAGAGTGTAACTCTAATTTTTAAGGCCATTGGGCTAAGGGAATACTTTCGTTATCTTTGTTTCAACTTCCCATTCGCTCTAGAGAGTTCGTTGTTGAGCAGCCTGAAGTATTTTCCTTGAAATGCTGATGCGAACAGCTTTAAGGCTTGGCGACAAGGTCGGACGGGGTATCCTTTGGTCGATGCAGGCATGAGGGAGCTTTGGGCAACTGGTTGGATGCACAACAGAATAAGAGTGATCGTTTCGAGTTTTGCAGTGAAGTTTCTTCTTCTCCCATGGAGATGGGGAATGAAGTATTTCTGTGACACACTTTTGGATGCAGATTTGGAATGTAATATTCTTGGTTGGCAGTACATCTCCGGGAGCTTACCGGACGGTCAAGCGCTTGAACGATTAGACTCGCCTCAGGTGAGTTGTGTTCCCTACTAATTAACTGTAAAATAGAGACGGATCTTGTCAATTGTAATCTTTGAACCTCATTTTATGTTACTTTTCAAGTCAGATTCAAGGCTCGAAATTCGACCCAAAGGTGAATATGTGAGGCAATGGCTGCCGGAGTTGGCAAGAATGCCGACCGAGTGGATCCATCATCCATGGGATGCACCTCTTACTGTGCTTAAAGCTGCAGGTGTAGAGTTGGGATTAAACTATCCGGAGCCCATAATAGACATAGATACAGCTAGGGAACATCTGAGAGAAGCTATATTCAAAATGTGGGAAATGGAAGCAGCTGCAAAATCCGCGACTTCGGATCAGATGAATGAAGAAGTTTTTGATAATGCTGATAGTATCGAAACTATTTCCATCCCGAAAGTCATCCTAAAGGAAACTTCTTCATGTCCAACGTATTCGTCTAATGATCAAAGGGCACCATCGTCTTGGAATTGCTACAACGGTTCCTTGAATAGGAAGAAAGAGCAAAACCTGCAGAAGAAGAAACGTTGAATGCGGATAAACCGAAGAAAGAGCGGGGACCTCAGGAAGAAAAGAAGACTTATGCTCAACGGCTGAATCTTCAGCATCCAAGAGGCTGAGTAATAGCAGAAAGTCATTCTACGTTCCTCAGTATAGCTCTTTATCCGATTGCAGACCTTTTCAGAAGTACGAATCGTCCGATCTCAACCGACCATGGCAAGAAAAGATCAACTTGGAACAGACTTCAAGAAAAAATGGCATTTGGTCCAAAATTTGCGAAAGCAGCAGTAACGAATACATGTCATTGAATCCGATCCGGTTGTCCGGTGGAGTCCAATGGTGGTATGGGTTTGCCAGTGCAAACATGAACATTGTCTTGAAGAAAAACGCCATCAATTGGATCTTGAATCTTCCGACTTTATCGATTAATGCAAAAGGGAACCGATAACCAGGAACGGTGCTGTGGATAGTGCAACGAGTGTTTCAGCTCTGGCAATTTTGTAAACTTCTTCAATTGTTTGCCTTTGGAATCCAACCGATGGCACTAAAGATGTCCTTTTGGAACAGGTACTGACTGTAGAAGGCAATGTCTAGCAAGAACCAAGTGCTCGCGGTACCAAGCGAGTGAAGTCCGCGTCGACGAAGAAATTGTACGCAGAACAACCCAAAATTGTTCCCTTTGTTCTGTTATAGTTTATCTGGTTCTGATTCCAATCAACCTGAAGAACTTTCAAGGTATTTGCTGCAGCCTGTTTCACTTTCTTGGCAACCGAGGCAGTGTGCCTAGCGGTTTCGGGCATTTTCATGCACCAGTAATACGTGATCAAAGCCGGGAATGCTCCAAACATCAAGATAATCTTTCCGGCCACAAGTGTGTTAAACTAATTCATAAGAAATAATGCAGCATATGAGTAAATCACCAATCACTCTTTCACTTTCATCCATTGATTACAATAAAAAAAACCAGAGGTTAAATACAAAGATGATGAGAGGGAAAGAGGACTTTGTTAGATTATATTGAAACTAATATACAACAAAAGGTCCCAGAAATCACCAGATTTCATAAGAGTTTTACTTTGTAAAATCTTCCAAATATCCCCTTTGATCAATGGCAGCCAATTTGCTCTTGATATCTCCATCAGTTTGAAGCCTCTTATTATACTTTTGCTCCAAGAAATGACTGGCAAAACAGAAAAAATTCAAGCACCAAGTAAGAGAACTATCGATTTCGTGTACGAATATGTGTCCGACACGAGTAATTGTTGAAACTATGGACAAGGAATTTTGTGTATACCCTGATTCTAGATGGAGGTGTAGGAGACTTGATTGAAGTCAATGTCCCGAACCCGAATTTCGGTTTCTTATCTGCAGGCTTTAATATTTGGAATGAACACATTAATGTTTCATCCACACTCATCATGGCAGCGGCATTGTCAAATTCTCCACAGTAATTTGGTGCTGAAAATATGGTTACAAGTTGCCTATTAGCGAAGAACTCGTATCCATCTTCGACGACCTGCAAGCAAGCGTGTAGATCGGTTTAACGAGATAAAAGAACCCGAGACTATGACCATTTTATACCAAATGATTTAATGCAAACTGCGTATGAAACCTGGTGTGCACGGCAAATTAAATCAAGGTCAAGCCTCTTGAGACAATCAATCACCCTATCAGCACCAAATATGTATGAAACTCCCCTGTCATTAGGCCCCCAGCCTTGAATGTCTTTACTAGGATCTGACCATAGGAGATCACATAGTAAGCCGGATTCCGGAACATCCACGGGCCGCTTTAACTTCCTAATCTGGTCTAAATTGCGTAGCTCCGGCGACAGTCCTCCATGCGTGCAGAATATCTTTTCTTCGATCAGGGCAGCAACGGGGAGGCAGTTGAAACAATCGGTGAACACCTTCCATAGCCGGACATTGAATCTCCGTTTGCACTCGTCGTAGAAACCATAGATACGGCTCACGGATGCGCATTCATGGTTGCCCCGGAGCAGGAAGAAGTTCTCGGGATATTTGATCTTGTATGCAAGGAGAAGGCAGATGGTTTCGAGACTTTGCTTTCCCCGATCGACATAGTCCCCTAAGAACAAGTAATTGGCACGAGGAGGGAAGCCGCCATTTTCGAACAGCCTCAGGAGATCCGAGTACTGGCCATGAATGTCTCCTGGTAATTCGTGAAGATGTAGATTCAGTATGCCATAACATCTTTAAAACCGGAGCTTAATTCAATTGATTCATACAATAGCATCGATTTAAACATCAAGGTTAAAGATTTTGAAACTCGAACAAAGAACTGAAAAGATCAAACATTGCAGAAAGTCTATATGAATTCAAATTCATGAACATAAACATTAGTCAGAAACCCCAACTAACAGGTCATAGGATGCCAAATTCATAACATTTTCAGTGACAAAACATACAACAAAACACACCAAAAACAAGCTACTTCACAAATTCAAACACACAAACAAGGAGCAACCAACTTCGAAAAGAATCAAACTTTAAACAGAGTGAAAAGAAGAAGAAGATACCACAGATCTTAATAGGTGCTTCAAGCTCCAACAGAACCGGCTGCATCAAGCAGATGTCTTTAGAAACAAGACAAAGCTGTCTTATTTCAGACTCAGAGAGCTGGACTTGCTTCCCTGGTTTGCCTCTAACTTCAAGCAACCTATTGATTATACCATCAAGAACCCTTGTTTCCATACTCCCCAAAAACAACAACAACTAGAAGAACAATTACAGGAAGCTAAGAAGATTATTAGAAGGCAAAGAGAGAGAATAAAGAATGGTTCTTCTTCTTTTGAACGTGAAAGGGTATTTTTTTTCCCTTTCTTTCTTTTTGAAGAATATAATGGTTGTTCTTGGTGCAGAAAAGAACGGTGGATCGTTGGTTCTTTGAATTAGATAACAGCCATGAGAACATATTCTTCAAGTTCTTTCCCACTTTCTTTTGAAAAAGAAAAATCATGGAAAAGAATGATAAGAAGAACAATAAGAGAGGCTGTATCACAAAAACCAGATAAAGCAAAAGAAGTGTACAAGGTAGGTAAAATGGACCCATAACAAAAATAATGCAGCTGATGAAATTAATGTAATGCAGTAGATATTTATTCATTTATGATAATTAATTAAAAAAATATAGCTGTAATTCAATATTTATTAGACTTTATATATCAAATTTTAATTTTAAAATAATAAAAAATATTTCATATAGTTAAGAAATATTTTACAATAAGATATGCTTTTTATATAAATTTAAATCATTTAAATTAGAATGAATTTTAAAATGAATATAAATAAAAATTACTAATATTTATTGAAAATTTTCTATTTTTTTTAATTTAGTTTAAAATTTTTACAAAATGTAATTCAATAGGAATATAAAGTAATAAAATATTTTAAATGTTAAAAATTGAACAATAACAATAAAATATTTGAATGAAATGCGTTATATTATAAAAAATAAAATAATAATTTTCCATATATATATATATATATATGAACCAAAGGAACTCGGTGGTAAATGAATTATGGTTATTCCTTGAGGTATCAGGTTCAAGTATCATAAATGTCAAGGGTATGACCTTTCAATGTCAAATGATTGAGAGTTATCTTTGAACCTATATAAAATAATAATTTTTCATATACATAATTAGAATTTTTTATGACTATTGACACAATAAACGAGTCACTTGAGATCATACAAATATCATTAAGAAAAATGTTAACTCATTTAAAAAAGCTCGAACAAAAGATTGACGCTAACAAATCTGACTGCATTACAAACGAAAAAAACAAAGGATTAAACTACTGAAAGACCACCGATAGCTGCAAGTCAAAGTTGAGCGATGTGGGTAAACTATTCACGAATGTAAATTACGTATCAAAATTTAAATCTGAGAGTTCAAAGTAGGGAAGATCAGTATGATAAAAATAAACAACATCTTAATCATTGTGACAATGTCAAGTTCAATTTAAAAAAAAGATAAACGAAAATAATAGTTAAATGACCGACAATAAAGACGGAAAACATGTAAAAAAAACATAGGTAGGGAAAACTTTTACAAGTGGCATAGGATGATAGTTGAAGGTGAGGGAGGATTCCAATAGTTTATTGGTAATTTAATTATTTTACAATATGAGGCAGTGAGGCTGCCCACATGTTTAGCATTGTTTATCCTTTACCAATAAGACATTTTTATTTATTTTAGGACTTCCTTTTAAGTCAATGGGTGCATAATCTACACCAAATTAGGACACCTTTTATGAATTGTGGTCTAAAATTGATCAACTCAACATTGATTAAAAATTTAATTAATTTGGTTTTATCATAAAGTAATTTCAATTAGATTAGTCTCTAACACATAATCCAAAACCATTCCATTCATGTGTGCAAATAGGCACGTACCAAATTTTTATTTGTTTTCGGTACAATTAAGTACCTAATACATTTTCTTAATTTTTCAATTGTTCATCCTTAGAATTTTAACGTCGAATATTAGGTACCCAACTTTTATTTACTTTGACACAACTAAAATTACATGTGTTCATATTTAAATTTTAACGTAAAATAGTTGAGCACGTCGTCTGCAACTTGCAGGGATGTTTAAACGTTCATCGTTAAATAATTGTGAGTTTTTTTTTCAAACAAATACTGCGCTTGTAATCGCACAGACGAATAAAAAAACTTTTGGATGTTAACACACCTAATTAAAAAAATCAACAACCTAATTGCACCATTAAAAAAGAAAACTAGATACCCAATTGTACAAAGAAATGGATATCACATTATAGTCGATACTAAAATTAGGTCATAGTAGAAGTCTTATCGGATATGAACTCATTGAGTGACTTTAATCGAAAAAGAAGGGGTTATTCTCCCTAAAGGGCTCGAGTTAGAACAATTGTGTCTACAATATATGTATACGTTGTCAATGATTAATTTTTTTTAGATAAACAATATCTTATAATTACGTCAAACTATTAAAAAAATTATTGGACATTATTCGGTTTCAAACGTGGGAGAGGAATCCCACAAAAGAAAGGAGATGAGGATGATGATGATGGGTAATCCAACCCACTACTTGATTTTAATGGAGGATCTAATTCTTGTGGCAAAGAAGAAGCCAACTCATTAATATTATCAACATAAAGCAAAGACACTTAATTAATTATTGATATCCAATTTACTAATTAATTAATTTAGATTGAGTTTTGTAGAAATTATTTACGAAGGCAACTATTTTAACCTAATTTTCTTCATTTACAAGTGTCAGGATTCGAATCCTTGACCTTGGAAAATAAAATTTATATTAATTTTGAATGATATTATAATTTGATCATTTTGATAAAGAATTTATTTTTAAAAAATAGTTTGTCTTATTAATTTTATTATTATTATTACTTAAATTTATTAAAATAATTATATTGTAAAAATAATTGAGGTATTCATAATTTTAAAATTAATATTTTTCATGATATAATTACTTAAATATTTTGAATGAGATTATCTAGGATGATTGAATCTGAATTGGTGTCTGCATGGCTAAAAAAATATTAAAATAATTCATGTCATCAAACAATAGTTTAGAAAATAGAAAAGTTACCGAAAGGTTTAACGTATAAATTTTCGTGATTAAATTAAAAAAAATTATTTTTAATGACCAAAATAGAAATTAAAAGAAAGTTTAATGATGAAATTTGTAGTTTACCGAATTAGTTAATATATTTTTTTTTGAAAGGGGTGTTTCTTCATGGTTTATGAGATTTTTACATCTTGGTTAATGGTGGGATGCAGCCATCCAGTTGTTATTGCTTTTATTGTTGCTATGGCTTCCAATCCCCCTGCAGCTCCGAGTCCGTGCCCGATCATCGACTGAAACTCGAAACAAATCGAACCCTTTAGTCGTTAAGCTTTGTAATTAAAGAAAAAATTGTTGTTTTGATCATCTTTGTCCCGTTCATTTTGATCTCAGAAGTGTCCTTGAGCACCCTTTTGATTGCATTAACCTCAGCCAAATCTACTGCCAGTGTTGATGTTGCATGTGCATTACATAGTTCACCTCTTCGGGGGAAACTCCGGCATCTTCTAAACTCCTGATTATGCAGGACGAAACTCCAAGTCCATCGGAACGGGGATCGGTCATATGATGCGCGTCGAACGTAACAGCACCGCCCAAGTACTCGGCAATTGTGTTAGCCCCTCTTTTCATAGCATGTTCCAAGCTCTCCATGACAAGTATGCCACAGCCATCCAATTGACGAAACCATCACGGTCCTTGTCCCAGGGCTTGGATGCTCTATGGGGTTGGTCATTTATCTGAGACAATGCCCTGCAGGCTATGAACCCGCCAATCCCGGTCGGCATGATAGCAGCCTTGGTCCCACCGGCTACCATGATGTCGGCTTCACCCCTTCGAATAAGGTTTGCGGCTGCGTAAAAGCAGTAATTTGCTGTTGCGCAAGCAGTTGAGATGGAATAATTTGGTCCCATTAAGCCGGTGTATATAGCCAGTAGTGCTGACCCCATGTTGGTGATGGAGTAATGGATGAAAAATAGAGTGATCTTCTCCCACTCCATTGCTGAATGCTGTAAGCCCTCCCATCCCCGTGCCCACCAGCACTCCGATTCGAGTTTTATCCATCTATGGCAACGAAATGGTTCGTTTAGTTCTTGTCAACGTATTAAACTTTAACGATAACATGGATAAAACACATTTCTGTAAACTTTAATAATATATCGATTTTGTCACTAAACTATAAACCGTTCACTTTTTGTCATTGCACTTTTCCGGCTGTCGTCGATAGTCAATCACCATATGTTTTCGATCCTCTTTCGTGACAAGATTGATATCAAAACGTTATCATTTCACTTTTCTTTTTCTCCTAGGATTGATTTTTTGTAAAACCCGCTCAAATCAACAAAATTAAACAAAAAAAATCACCATTTGAGGTGTTTGTTTGTAAATCCTAATGGACAAAAGTACTATTTCGAGAAGACGAATAACATACCTCCAAACTAGTATTCTCAAACAACAATCGAAGGTGATTGTAATACTAGTTCGTCAAACCTTTAAATAAATTTTCGTTGATTTTAAGTTTATTTCACAGAAAACAAATCCTAGAATAAGAAAGAAGAGTAAAATGTAAACGTTTTTTTTAATAGATCTCATTTAAAAAAAAGACCGGTGATAGGGGATGATTGACTGTCGAAATAGTTGAAACAATGCATTGAGAAGAAATTAATTGTTTAAAAAATTAATGACAAAATCAATACTCTGATCCTATTTCTCCGTGTTATCACAACAATGGAAATTTCAATGGTATTGGTGTAGTTTACCAAAGAAACTTAAAAATACTTGCTTTTTCAAGGACTTGAGAACCAAGGTTGGCGTCATCGAGTGCCTTCGTCCAGCAACTAAACATTATCTCCAGCAATCGACGAGACGACGATCATTCTTCCCGTCAATGTATCCTTTCGACGAAAAATCGCGAATTTGACCGGCGAATCGGACTGAATAACTTGTAGCATCAAACCTATCAGTCTGTGTGATACCACTGTCACCGGCAAGAAGTTTGTTATAGAAGTGATCAATGTCACTGCCGAAAACCGAGATTCCATTAGACCTCTAAGGTACCAGTTTCGTACCTATCACACAATTTTATCCGCAATCATAATAAACGTAAAGTGATCGAAATACTGCGTAACCCTAATTAAAATCTCTGATCAGGAAAGAAGATGGAAACAAGGTAAAGGGATGATCCGAACACCTGAACAAGACAGTCTAGTAATCCCAGACGAAGGCAGCTGCATGCTCTCCATAGCTCTAAGCCCATCGTACTGAGCCATAGAAGCTCCATCTTCTTTGTTTCTAAACAGCAAGCATGAAGAACAAGAACCTGATATAACAATGCCTGCCATTTCTTCTTCACTTTCTTGATCAAATGTGCTCTGAATCAAGAGATTTATGAGAAAGAAAAAGAAAGCTACAAAAGAAAATTGATGAAGAGATTGAGAAAGGAATTTGGGGTATCGATGGCGGGGGAAGATGAGTTTAAAACAAAGAAAGAGCTTGGCTTTTGTCTTGCCAACAATTTTCCAGGCTTGTAGAATTCGTCACTAAGCTTTTATTTTCGGACATGAAACAGAACAATGGCGATAGGACCAAAGAAGCAAGATCTGCTACTGCTATGTTCATATTGTTTTTGCATCTCAACTACCCAGATCAACCCCATATATATATAATTATACTTCTTATTTTTCAAGTATTTAAAATTTTATTTAGTTAAAATAAATAATTAACGTTTTTTGTTTTGAGAAAAATGTGAAACTTCATTCCCATGCAAAAGTTAGGCTATGAAAACATAAACTAAAGCTATGAAAGCAAACATAAACATAAGCTAAGAAAGCAAAGCTATGAAAACAAAGCAGCTTGGTCTGAAGCGAACAAGGGAACTGCAAACGGAGGAGGACTACCAAACAAGCATATAGGAGAGACTCGCGATAGGCCTTCACGCCCGAACACATCAGTGACCCTATTACCATCCCGACCCACGTGCTGAAAGATACAACGGTCAAAGGATGTTGCAAGATCCCAGATCTGATCAGTAATGCAACCACCATAGGAACAGTCAACCTGTGATGAAGCAACTCTGGATATGACAGAACGTGAGTCTCCTTCGACAACTAAACTTCGATACCCCAGACTCAAAGCCAGATTTAGCCCTTCCACACAAGCTAAAGATTCCACATGGAAAGCATCCATTGCATGAGGAATCCCACTTGAATAGCCTGCTAAGAGTTGACCAGTGGAATCTCGTAAAACACAACCGATACCTCCCATTCTCAGGTCTTTGTCATACGAGCCATCAACATTCACCTTGATGAAACCAACCGGGGGAATAGTCCAAAGCCGATCAATCGGGACAGGAACCACATCTGGGCGAACCGACGCCAAAGAAAGCTCCTCTAGATAGGTAGTCACAAACCCATGGATCTCCACATCCGAGGAAATATGACCCTGGTAAAGCTGATAGTTTCGAGCAACCCAGAGAGAACAAAGCAGAAATAGCTTGTGGGTTTCAGGTATGGAGAGATGAGACAACACATAAACCATCCATTCCCGGAAGTCCCTTTCGTGACCCTGGGTGAACTGCTCCCAACCAAACAACCCCCACGTCGAGTGCAACTGGGAGCAACCAATGAGAGCAAGCAAAACAGACTCTTGGCCAGTTCCATACTGAAAACAATGCTTGTCAGGAACAACATGCTTCAGGTATAGATTGACATAACAAGGAAGAAGGTTATGGAACGTCCTCCAAATAAAAATCCAAGCCTTCTTTAGGAGCGGTTGTGAGCAAAGCATTTTATAGAAACGAATGTCCCTGGCATCTGTAGTCTCTCGTTGCGCATCGAGACATAGAAGAAAATTATAAGCACTTCTGACAGTGAAACGTCCATGAGGCTCCAACCTCCAAACCATATGATCAGACCAGCGATCCACAGGTAAGGGAAGCGATAATATGGCACTAGCCACTGGCGCCGGAAAAAGAGCCTGAACCACATCAACCCGCCATGTTCCCAAAGAAGGATCTATCAGATCAGAGACCGTGGACAATTTGCCAGGATCCATACATGATTGAAGAAGTTCAGCTGGTGAAAATTGTGGGACCCAATGCTCCAAGAAGATCAGAATAGTAGTGTCATCTCCCACCTGAGCTCGTAGGCATTGCTTAATCACCCCTTGCACCGACCAAATGTCCAATACCCAAATCATTAATCCCTTTCCACTCCAACCACTCGTTCTCTCATCTCTTGAAAATTCGTCGCCAAACAAACTCTTCATCACATCTTGTCATTGATGCACTCCCATTTCGCTCACCCATGTTATCCCCTCGCATGCATCAATTGGAAAATCAACGTCGTCACTCTTCTCCTTCTCCCTTTTACACTGCTGACTTTCTTTTTGTTTATACCATTCATGGAAGAGCGTTAGTGATGGTTGATTTCGGTGGTAACATATGAGATTAGGGGATTAAGGATAAAATCTTTAGGGTTTTAGAATTTTAAGACATATGATTTTGGAGTATTTGATAAGAAATAAACAATATTCTACAAGATTTTCTAAATTTTATGAAATTTATTTTTTAGAAAAATTTAAAAACAAAAGAACTTAAACATTAGGTCACGTGTCAAATATTTGTTTGTTAATTACTTTTAACGATTTTTTTAATATTGTGACAAAATGACCTTAAAATAGTAACTTTGAAAATGATAAACACCTATTTAACAACAAAAAAAACTTTAAACACCTAAAGTAAATAAGAAATATAATTTAAGCACTTATTTTTTAATTAAACCTTACTATTATTATTATTATATTATTATTATTATTATTATTTTATCTAAAATTTTAATGGTAGATGGAACTCAAATCGTTATTAAAATAACATCAAACTCAAATCGATTAATTGTTGTTATTTTTGGGTTTACAGTACGGGGATAATTTTGTAGTTATATTAGAAGAGTAATTTAGGATATGTTGAAATTTGATGTAAATGCCAAGTTTTGGGATACACGAGAAATCATATAATTGTACTCGTATTGATCTTTATGTTTATAGTGATTTGATATATATCTGATTATGATATAAATATCTGGTGATGAGATACATGCGGTATTATATATTTGTACTCTTTATGATTTTGAAGTTTTTTGGGAAGCAAGCAACAACTACTTTCCTCGCCTTTGGGTGACCAAGATGATGGTAGATCCGAATATATTTTAGTTTTCAAATAAATTATATTTTATAATTGTTAATTTGATAAGAGTTTTTTTAATATGTGATGATTATAAGATCATATTTGTTTATAATCTTTTTTTAACTATTAAACAACATATATACTCTATAGACACATCTGCTCGAACCAAAATTATTTAAAAACACAATTCTTTAAAAGTTCAAATCTTTAGCATGTAGGACCAAATTCATTTAACCATTATACAATGAAATTGAAACATAAAATATATTATTATGTATATGAATGGAGTGATCTCAGTGGTAAAGAAATTGTTATTATCTCTTGAGGTTTCGAGTTCGAGAATAAAGAATATCATATGTATAAATATTTAATATCAAATAGTTAATATTTTTTAATAGATATTACCTTGTACTTACCATATATTAATAAAAAATATATATATTATTATTTAAATCGTGAACTTTTAACACTTTATCAGGAATTTCATTAAATCAAATATCTTTTTTCGAATTGACTAAATTAGATTCTGACCAATGTCTTGGGCTTTAATTGTCACAATCAACAATCACGTAAAATAAATAAATAAATTATGAAAATAAATAATTAATTTATTGATAATTGGATTGTCTTCCTTAGCTACCACCATCGACAAAAAATATTTTTATTTGAATTTATTTATAAAAATATAGAAATTTTAGGATAAAATAATTATATAATTTTAACCATACATAATGAGCTGGAAAAAAAAAGAGAAAATTTTATTATAATTTCAACAATCAGTGATGACGAAAGCAGAAGAAAAATATTTCTCAAAAGTATTCCTTATATTTATGATAATCACAATAAATATATAAGTAAAATATACATTTAGTCACTCAGATTTTATTATATTTTGTTTTGGTCACTTATTCTCTTTTAACTTTACCAACCAACTTTCAAAATTTATTTTTAATCACGAAACCAACGGTTATGTGATTACAATAGAAAATTGCTGCATTTTGAGCATTTTTATTTATAAAATTAATCTAATATTTTTTTTCATTATCGATATTTTTTAATCACTGTATGATAATTATTAGTCATCGATCACTGTGTGTGACGTAATTGACACAAAAAAATTCTCATTTCTACTCTCTTTTTTTCTTTTTAGATTGTGTTTTTTTAAGTTCTCTTTTTAAGTCATCAAATTATATTTATAATGTGTGTGATAATTATTAGTCATCGATCACTGTGTGTGACGTAATTTATTGATCGTGTTAATCTTAAAATGTTATTTACATACAATTGTAGATGCAATCGTAGTATTTATAATGTCATAAATATGGATGGTAAATTTATTTTATTAAAATGATTCCGATTTAATTATTTTTTTAAATTTACAATGAATTTTATATAAAAAAAAGTCAAAATTAAAATGCTAACCTTAATTCTTTACACTTACAAATTGGAAATGAAGGTTGTAAAAAAAAACTGAAGGCAAAAAGAAAAAGAAAAATTAATCATCTCTTTCTCTCTTGCTTCTGCTCATCATATTCCTCTTCATCGAGTGTTTTGTCTTCAAAGCCACCACCGGCGAACACCCTTCGTCTTGGTTACACTTCATTTCTTTCAATGATTCCCTCACTTTCTCCTCCGGAAAGTTGAGCACCGCTGCCGAGCCTCTCATCGCGAAAGCCGCCTGATCGTAAGCCATGGCTGCTGCTTCCGCGCTGTCGAACGTTCCCAGCCAAACCCTTATCCCGTTTCGGGTTGAATCCCTTATCTCCGCCACGAACTTCCCCCACGGTCGCCGTCTCACGCCTCGGTAAACCTTTTCTTTCGTCGCGATCTCGGCCTCCGTCGAGCTAACTTCCGGCATCTCTTGTTTAACCTCCGCTAGCAGCCCGTACAAAAGCATCTCCTCGGAGTCGTTCTCGTTGAAAGGAAGGGAGCTGTGATCCAACGGGAAAAACTCCGATGACCCTAATGAAGATTCCGATGAACAATTCGAATTCGGAGAGTGAAAAAGGAAATAATCCATCGTGTTCTTTAAGGTTTATGTAAGAGTTTTCTCTGATTTTCACTCTGTTATGCAAGTGTTGAGATGAAGGGGAAAGAACCTTTTATAAACGAGAGGGATCCAAGGGGGGTTAACTGTAATTAAAACATTTTTGAAAAATGGCGAAGGATGCTGACATGGTATTATAATGCTAATTCGTTATATTGAAGGTCATACTATAAGGTTTAATGGACACGTGGGTCAATTCGGCGTGATGACCGAAGTTATGTAAGTGACGTGGGTGGATGACATCAGTTTTTTTTTTGGATACGAGGTAGGGATGGGCATTTAAACCCGACGGTTTTTGACTTAACCAGATCGGGTCGGATTTTTTTTAAAAAAATCAGGTTCAGGTCAGATATTTTATGCGGTGTTCGGGTCGGGTCGAGTTCGGGTTTAGGGTGGAAAAAAATTCGACCCGACTTGACCCGGAAAATTATATAATTTTACCTTATATATTTAGAGATAATTACAATAATACCTTTTTATATATAATTTTTTTCAATTAAGTCACTGTTTTTATTGAATACAAATATTTTTTTTTATTTTAGGTCTAGTCGGGTCGGGTTTCTATGTCATATATTAGGATCGGGTAGGGTCGGGTGAAATCTTGTTTTGGTCGGGTTGGGTCGGGTCTCGGGTGGAGGCTCTCTTGTTCTCGGGTCAGGTCGAGTGGACCAAAAACCCGACCCATGCCCATCCCTAATACGAGGCAAGCGCGGAGACCATTCTCCACCTTGTCATCCCTCGTGGACGATAAAGACAATTAGGAACAAAGTTGATAATTGGGATAGACACGAGATTCGAATTCGATGAATTTTGATCTGATCGGATATGTTTTTAAAAATATATATATATTTAAGTCCAATCGGGTCAGATACTTTTAGAAAATACGTTCGTGTCAAATTCAAGTTTAAAATAAAAAATATTCGATCCGATTTAAATAATAACATAAATTTACTTTATATATTTAAAGATAATTACAATAGTAACCTTCTATATATAATCTTTTTTTAATTAGATCTCTATTTTTATTGAATTAAAATAATATATTTATATAAATATATTTATTTCGAGTCGGGTAAGGTAGGATCGTGTTCAAGTTTTATCTCAAAAGGTCGGGTTAGGTTCGGCTCGGATGAAGCCACCCCTAAATTTAGGTTGAGCCAAGTTTCAGGTGGGAGGATATATATTTTTTGGATTGAATCGGATTGATCAGAAATCCGACCGATCCATACCCATCCCTAATTATAATATAAAATAATTATCTAAATTATTGCCGGTAGTTCAGTTGTTAAACATGTTATTATCCTAATTGTAATCAAATCGATAGAATATAATGTATTATTATATGAAATTTCGTTTGATTATAACAAAATTGAAAGTTTAAGTAAAAAGAGAATTGACCTCATAATTTGATGATCTATAAAGTAATTTACTTTTTCTAAAATCAAAATCATTATCCTTGTTTTGAATTTTTAATCTCCAATCTTTTAAATATTACTTTCCTTTTCTAAAATAATAGGTAGATACATGTCCCCTAAAAGTAAATTCATAAAAATTATTTCCCAAGTCACAAACAATTTCATATGAAACTTTTAGGAAATGTCTAAAAAGAGTGGATAGTGTGTTTGAAAATGACATTGACTCTTCTTGTTGAATTCCCCCAAGGTATCTTTGATAATTCAACATTTTCATATGAACTTTTAGGAAAGGGTGGACCATTTTTGTGTGGATACATATAATCAGATATGGATGTGGGATGGGTGAGGACAGTCGTCCCTGAAAAATTATTATATATTTTAAAGTTTTCTATTGAAAATCTATTTTTGACTCATTAGAATTTTATAAGTTTAAGTTTACCCTCTAAAATTATATAAGTTTAAGTTACCCTCTAAAATTATATTTTAAAGTTTTGATCCGTTTTAGTACCTAAACTTTTTTTTCAAAATCATATATAATGTTTAGTTTTTATTTTATTTTAGTACCCCGTTGTTAAAAACTTAACGCGTTTAGTACCTAACTATTAGTTTTGGTTTGTTTTAG